ACTTTATGAACAGTAAACTGCCATTCAGTCATGAATATATATATATAGTTCTCCGATGACTATTTAGCTTGACTATTATTTTTAATGTTTTTATTGAAAACAAGTTTAAATCATGATACTATAGGCTAAGAATTGGTCTTTGTTTAGTGTAGAATATCTGGTAAGATTCTTTACATCAAGGACTGAATTTAACCAAAGATTACAGGACAGTTGTTTCATCCGTGTATAGGAGTACTGAATAATGTGGATCCACAATTTTATCAAGGATTCATTCTGTGACTTTCAGGAGTTTTTGTGAGTGATTAGTCTGGTTATGTAGCAATGACTTATTGCTTAAGACGTTCAACTTCCAGTCGCTAAGTCTCAAGTTCAGATCCCACACCACTTAATACAATTTGGCCGACAGGATAATATCATTACCCTTCACACTTGGAGATTCATTTAGTGTGATCTTAAGAATTGTCCATTAATTTTGATTTGATGTAAGAAGTTATGAAAAAAAGTACATTCTTAGTATATATTATCAATGTTAAAATTAGTCTATAAAATATTGAGAATGAGTTATCAAGGCTGACAATTTCAAATTCTATTGATTTCATGAAAACAGATCCAAGTTAGCTGAGGAAACACATAGAAGGTAGTTTGATCTTAATAAGGGACTCCTTATCAAGTTGTATTCACGATCACTAGACCAGGTGATACAAATCGTATTGTGGTGCGTGTTACTTATATTCATATAAGTAGTTTATCACGCGAGTTAAAAACGCAATGTCTGGCAGCAGAAGATGGGGGGGGAGATCAAGAAAGGAAGAGCGACAACACAATGCAATTTGTAAGGAAACGCATGAACAATGAAATGTGAGACAATGGATTGATGTTTGCAACAGGAACAGTCCAGGTTGATATGATGGATTAATATTTTGCAAATTAACGATTTACCATATGGCTTTTCTATTTTACCAAGTAACTCTGTAATTTTGTGCTATATACAATTCGGTTGTCCTCACCTGTGTTCGCCTTCACTAAAGTATACCTAAAAGTTGATTGTATAGACTTATATTATATAAATAATGTTTTGTATTTATAAATGAAGTTGAATCAATTCTGACAGATTTTTGCTTCAACGAAATCATAGGATCTGGAATAGGTCACCTACAAGTCGGTTAGGAATTAACCTTAGCTGAATTGAATTTATTTCGCTTTTTCTTAGCATACTTGGTTAAAATTAGACAAACAATAAATTAGGTAGCTGAAAATAATCGGTAAGGAATACTGGACCCACGTTTCTTGGGAATTGACAGTCGTTATCATAGAGTATCTATAGTTTTCAAGGGACTAATGTTTCGTGTGTAATTCTAGTCCGCCTACTGGCGAATATCTACTTACAACCTGATCAATGGAACCCAATGACAACTAAACATTGATCGCTAATCAGTGGTCAATTAATTGAGTATAAAATTAATACGCTAAATTATACCAACTCGCTACAGTTGGATAGAACTAGAAACGCCTAGGAGAGAGTGGGTTGGAGAATGCTTATCCGAAGGTAACAGGCGTGTGGTAAGTAAGTAATTAAGGAAGGAAGGAAGGAAGGAAGGAAGGAAGGAAGGAAGGAAGGAAGGAAGGAAGGAAGGAAGGAAGGAAGGAAGGAAGGAAGGAAGGAAGGAAGGAAGGAAGGAAGGAAGGAAGGAAGGAAGGAAGGAAGGAAGGAAGGAAGGAAGGAAGGAAGGAAGGAAGGAAGGAAGGAAGGAAGGAAGGAAGGAAGGAAGGAAGGAAGGAAGGAAGGAAGGAGGGAAGGAAGGAAGGAAGGAAGGAAGGAAGGAAGGAAGGAAGGAAGGAAGGAAGGAAGGAAGGAAGGAAGGAAGGAAGGAAGGAAGGAAGGAAGGAAGGAAGGAAGGAAGGAAGGAAGGAAGGAAGGAAGGAAGGAAGGAGGGAAGGAAGGAAGGAAGGAAGGAAGGAAGGAAGGAAGGAAGGAAGGAAGGAAGGAAGGAAGGAAGGAAGGAAGGAAGGAAGGAAGGAAGGAAGGAAGGAAGGAAGGAAGGAAGGAAGGAAGGAAGGAAGGAAGGAAGGAAGGAAGGAAGGAAGGAAGGAAGGAAGGAAGGAAGGAAGGAAGGAAGGAAGGAAGGAAGGAAGGAAGGAAGGAAGGAAGGAAGGAAGGAAGGAAGGAAGGAAGGAAGGAAGGAAGGAAGGAAGGAAGGAAGGAAGGAAGGAAGGAAGGAAGGAAGGAAGGAAGGAAGGAAGGAAGGAAGGAAGGAAGGAAGGAAGGAAGGAAGGAAGGAAGGAAGGAAGGAAGGAAGGAAGGAAGGAAGGAAGGAAGGAAGGAAGGAAGGAAGGAAGGAAGGAAGGAAGGAAGGAAGGAAGGAAGGAAGGAAGGAAGGAAGGAAGGAAGGAAGGAAGGAAGGAAGGAAGGAAGGAAGGAAGGAAGGAAGGAAGGAAGGAAGGAAGGAAGTAAAATAAGTACATGAACTCAGTCATCTCTACTATTTAATCTGAATACAGCTTAACTATTGACAGTTTTATAGTGTTAAATTCATCAACTTAAAATGAAAATCACTTTCCATTTGATTAGATACTGTTAGAAATCATCATACACACTCCCCTTCAACCATCTCACTTCTCTCATTGTTTTCATCCATAAAACAAAGTCAAATTAAAGAAGAAAAAAAGAAAGAAAGAAAGAAAAAGAAGAAAAACATAAAGGTATTATGTATAGTAGATGTAATGGTATTCATATTATTAACAATACAATATTATTATTATTATTATTCATAATTGAAATAAACGAGCAATCATAGAAGTTTATTTTTGCTTTTCTTTTCTTTTCTTTTTTTTTTTTTGTTGTTGTTGTTTGTTTTAGTTAATTTAGTGCAACAAAAAACTGGGAGAGAGCACAAAAAAATAATAATATTGATCAATAAATGATTCAATAGGGTAATGGGTGTGATTAGTAGTTTGGATAGGAAGTGTATTTGTGAAAAATCAATAATAATCATAATAATAATAAAACATAACAGTATTAATAATAATAATAATAATAATAATAATAATAATGAAACAAACGTTGTTTACCTTAGAACAGCAGTAATAATAATAATAATAATGAGTTGTAGGTAATAGGCGATTAATACTATTGTTATTGATTTGTTTTCTTTTTCTTTTTCTTTTTATATTCTAACCATTCATTTTCACTGTGTGTGTGTGTTTTTCATTTATCGATTGTTTACTTCTTTTTATTGATTGATTGATTTATTAATCATGTGTGATAAATGAATTTCCTTATTGTAACTATGACATGTAAACATAATTGAATTGACAGAGAGAGAGAGGGAGAGAAAGAAAGAGGGGTGGGAGAGGGAGAAATAAACATGTTGTAAAAAGAAAAACATTCACTCAGACAAACACATACACATACACACACACACATAGAATACCTCTTGTGAACGTATAGAAGTACAAGTGCTATACACACATACAAGAAGGTTGTAAAGTGTAAGAGTATGAATTCAAATGATTAAACATTAAACAACAGGTATATTGACGCATTCAATATCTATATCTATATATACCTGTATTTGAGCAAGAAGATCGTACAATATGCACCATTATAAAATTACACATAATCGTAATATGGAAATAGATTGCATTTTTTTGTATTTGTGAAAAAGAAGGCAACTAATTCGAGTTTATTTATTATTAAAAATTCATTTAAATTATGATAACCCTGGTATAATAACATTTAGAAGAAGGGATTGATTGATTGATTGATAATAAACAAACACCCCACCCCTTCATTATTACATAATTGATAAAACAAAATGAGGATAATGAAGATTGAAAGAAGAATGAATGATGTCTAGTTCACATGTATTGAATATGTGAATATACACAAATTAACACACGTACATACATAAACAGTTTCATGTAAACATGAATGAGAGGCAGAGGGGTAAATAAAGACTGGAAATATGGGTAATCAAATTATTAAGCAGAAAAAAAAATTAAGGAAAATGAGAAAATGAACATTGTGAGATATTAATTCATCATATTGACAACTACTGTCAATGTGTGTGTAAGGGGATGGTGGTGGTGGTGGTGGCGGTGGGAGTAAACAAACACTTCTTCCTTGAAAATATCTTAGACTTGTTCATTTCACAACATAAACACAACACATGATGAATAACTCTTCAAAAGTAGAATTACTGAAGTAGCAGTAGTAGTAGTAATAGTCGTACCTATGAATACGATAGAGACAAACTGAATGCAATATACATACTCAACTTGAATGTGTGCATATCACTTTGCATATGCACAAGTTTATTTCTTATTAGCAAAAAAATATAGAGAATAACTAAATTGATGTAAAGGGGTGTGTTTGTGTGTGTGTCTCTATGAGTGGTGTGTAACGCGAAAAAACTTAGTTGTTGAAGTGAAATCATAAATTTGTTAACCAGAAAAAAAAAAAGAGGAAATTCATTTATTGACGTATACCATTGGTTTCTTGTGAATACTGTTAAGTTGTTTGTTTTAAAAAAAATAAGGAAACGAAGCCAAAATAAAAGAGAGCAAAAAGCAATTCGTTCATCGGCACTAGTGAATACACACACACACACAGACAATAACAAACACAAATCATCATACACCTATATATATAAAGGAGAAACTATGTAATCAGGTCTTGTTTGGTTATATCTCCATTTTGTGTAAACAAACATATACGTAAATAAAATAGATCAGTAGTATTTCGAATACTCAAAGAAAAAAAAGAGATCAGACGAAATCAAAACGGATTAAATTAGCAGTAGTTCCAAAGAGAAGGATGGAGACAGATAGACATACACACACAAAGGGACAGAGAGAGAGAGAGAGGGGGGAGTACAGAACATTAGCAAATCTCATGCTTCGAGTCCGCACAACAACACACTGTACAATTATATATATATATATATGCATGAGATAGAGACAGAGGGATAAGAAACGGGTTCATTTCAATAAAAAAAAGACAAGAGAAATATGATCATTATTGGATCAATTATTGATGATGTTTTTTTTAGAATAAAAAAAGGCAACAATGAATACCTTGTTACAATACTACTATTAAATATACTACTAATAATAAGCCAGAATTTAAAAAAAAAATTCTTTTTAAAAACTAATAATAATATTGAATAAAACCAAATGAGAAAGTAAAGTAACATATTGTCAATAATACAAATAATCTCTTGAATTATTTAATCAGGATTCATTATTAAAATTCTTTTATAAAATATTAAAGAGAAAAACAAAATAGAGAAACAATAATCAATAAAAGCAACAAAAAGAAGAAAAAAAAGAGAGAGAAGAGAATGAAGAAAAGCAAACGACCAAACAAACAAACAAACGAAGAACTGAATGAAGATGAAAGATTGAGGAAATAACAAAGGGACAATATAACAACGACGACGACAACAACAACAACAACAACAACAACGTTGCCTTAAAGCGAAAATAAAATGTATGTAATATATATTGTCTATTATTACATGTATATATATAGTATATCAATGTTGGAAGGAGGGATCGTCAATTCATGAAAATAAGAATGAACGACAATAACAGCAGAGACAATGGCAACATTAACAATATAATGCTAATTACATACCGTTTATATAAGAAAATTGAGCACGTACCCGCACACACACACACACACACACGGACGTAGAGAGTTGTAGCTTATGTGTGGATGTGTGTGTATCAGAAAGAGAGAGAGATAGGGAGATAGGAAGATTTTGTATATACGGAGGAAAGAAATACAAATTTCGCATATGTTTAGGTCTTTATAATAATTGATATGATCAACTATCTATTAGGGTAAAGTATGAATTAAAAAGGTATAATTCTGTATAGTGTTTAATCAATATATCGAGCGTTGACATCAATAACGATGCTTATGCTTTCATACAAACATAAACGCATAAGCGTATTTAAACAGATAGATATAATTAAGATTCATCCGGAGCATCAGCATCCACGTATTCAATACTAGAATTTTGACGTTGTCTAAATGCCAATGAACCAATACTTCTACGTTGTTCCAAATCAATATGTGGTCCAAGTCCCATACGGAATGCATCGACCACTTTCATCTGATGATAAGTAGAAGATAAGCAAACAAAAAAAAGATTTTATTATTTGTGGAAATATTCTTTAACTCTTAATGATGTTTACATATCTATGTGATTAACAAAATAATATCTAAACATCTGGCTAGTCTACGTAACTAAGACAGGATTCGTTTGCTTCGTGATTCCTACATCATCTTTACATATTACACATATTGTATAAAATGAAATCATTGCCCCCCCACCTATATCGGAGTTGGTAACTTATACAAAGATAAGATAAGCAATATTGTGATACATGCGACCATATGCCTTATTGATAGTCGTAACACTAATCAATTCTGAATAGTTTAAACAGATAAACAAACAAACAAACAAACAAACAACGAATTACAGCTGTCATCAAAACTAGCCTAACACAAAGTCTATTTTGATAAACGGTAATAAACAAAGCGTGAGGGAGTGAGAGAGAGATTACGCAACTCATCGTAATCACTAGACGAATATTAGAGAAACAATCATAAATGAACAATGAGAAAATGTAAGACCCCCCTTTCCAGTGTCAGTCAACTAGTCATCCACAACGTAGAACCAGGCACCTATACGCATCAGTTCATGTTGCCATACCTCATTAGCACAATAAGGTAAACACCAAATTCATAGAAGTAATTACTTCAATGGTATTAATATATAAAAGACAGATTGTGTATAGGGATATAGTACAAGAAGAAAGAATTATTTTGTAGAAAGAAAGGCATAAAGTAATTTTAATCTTACAGTTTAAGCGAATACAGAGAGTGTATACACCTACGCCATTATGATCGATTCTGAACCATGTTACCCAAAGTTGTGAAGACCTTAAATCAAGTAGATTACATCTACCAACATGATTTAAACCAGAAATAAGTGCATTTTATAGACTGATGTCACGTTTTAGTTTATTCACCCTTAACTTTCTACAATAATCAAAGCTGATGTATATAATTCAATATAGAAGATTTGAGTTAAGAATTTAGATCAACAATGCTTCATAGAATGGTTATTGTTTACAAAGTCCAGACATACTATAACTATTGATGAAGTCATTGACAAATATTATTGAATAACAGTTACAATCCATCTACAATAAACGTACTAAACATTAATTGCTTAGCTATAAAATCTGTTTATTACTGTTATCAAAGTAATTTCAGTTAGACAACTATTGAAAACCAAGGAGCACTGACAAACAACTGTCTAATCCTCGTTTAAGACTTTAACAATATACATTCATGACCCTACGAAAGATCTTTAAGGTTCTATGGAAAGTGTTATCCTAGTGATTTATAGTATTAACTTTATTAAATATATTGCCCACGATCATCCCCAAGAGTTATTTGTGAATTTCACTGAAATGTTGGGTAGTAAGAGATAGTCAGTAAGAAATCCTTTTCATTCTAGGTTTCGTATTAGTTTGGACATGTCAGCAGGGATGTCTATAATCTTGATTCCGACCGTTGTTACTATTTTGACGTTATGAATGGGCTTCCCTATCGTGATGAACCAATCGACCTATACTGACTGGAACAATCGTTCCTCAAGGTTCTATCATGCCAGACAGGTTGGTTGAAGAGCATTAAGACTAAAAGCAGCAAATCTAAGGTCCGATAATCTTGATGGAACCGAAATTCCCAGCCCCAGAATTTGAAACATTATCGTTGAGTTATTCGAGTACTGATTGTAGAGAAGTCACTGGTGCTCATTTAATGATCAGTCCAATTGTAAATAAGTTAGTCTCCAGCAGTTATAAATTCTCACAACAAACTTTCAAAAAGTTAACTCGTAAAAAGTCACCAGCCAAAGACATGATTATTCAGTTGGTGAAGGAAATCGGTTCATTTTTTTGGTGGGTGGAGGGAGAATTTCCCTTCATATACGTTTATTTATTCACCTAAAGAAGCGACTTACATTAAACTGCAAAAAAAACATCACCAATTGAATGCTCTACTCATTGGGATTCAACAAATATATACGATCACTGTTTTAATATATTCATTCAATGATCAAGTCAAACTTGGGTATAATTATACTTAATATTTTTTGTGAAAAAAAAACAGAATCCCGCACCGCTGAGGAGTCCTATATTAGAACGAAACGATCGTCCTACTACTACTACTACTACTTCCAGCTTTTTAATCGTAGTCAACACATTCATGACATAAATCTATATTCAACAATCTCTACAATCCTATATTGATAAAACAAAGAATGTCGTCAAGTGGAATTGTATATAATTATTTAGTAACTATGCTTTATTAAACATATATATATTACATACTTACTCCTTTGTAGAATTAGTATCATTTCAATTATTAAAACAACACATTCTCTGCAATATATTCTGCTATCGGCTATGTTTAGTAATAGTGTAAAAGTACACACACGCACACACAAACACAAACAGAAACACGATCACACACACACACACAGACACCATGGCGTTAGAAATAAACTTGACGAAAAGGTAAATAAATAAAATGGATAAGTAACACAATTAGTTAGTATTGTTGCCATGTTAATAAATGAAATCCAATTTTCAAAGTTGATTTTTTTTCTTTTACATTTCAACTATAAACTATATAAATAAAAAATTGTATACACAATAAAACGTACGAACACGCACGCACGCACACACGCACGTGCGTACGTACACACAACACACACACGCAAGTTATGGTTGAATTAATACAAGAAAGAATGTATGATAAAACAATCCACTGTGATAACACAAATAAAATTATCCATCTTATCATTCAATAGATCGAAATAGTTTCATCAGTAATAAGAAAATAAAAGATCAATTGACACCTGTTATGTTCACATGGTAACACACGCACACCCACCCACACACACAGAGAGAGAGAGAGAGAGGAAATATGTAGGAGGGAAAAGAGTATGATTACAATATGACTCTATAAGAAATCAAAGTTCCAATGCTTTTTAAGTAAATTTCAGTCATAGTTATCATGTAGTTTCAATATTTCATTAAAACAGGCGTAAGTAAGTAAGTTGAGCTAATTGTCTAGTTATAGACTTTTGTTTGTTTGTTTGTTACAAGTTACATTATAATTGGAGATTATAGTTAACAGTAGAATCAATTGTTAACACTAATACTCTAGTAAATATGTATTTTAGATTCCATTATTAAAATAACAGCGGACAATAGCTATATCTTAAGATAAGTAACAATAATAGAAGAAGTGTATACTTAGATTCAGCTGTCTACGCAAGATACTCAACATCCATTAGCCGGATAACATCAGCAATAGCCTTCTGTGGGAGAGAACAAACAAACTTCCAGCTAAAGAAGAAATTAGGAAAAGACGATGGAAATAGATAGGACATACATTACGCAAATCATCACACTTCATCACGAGGCAAGCCCTAACTTGGAATCCTGAAGGGAAGCGAAAAAGAGGAAGGCCAAAGAACACATTACGTCGGATAATAGAAGCAGATATGAAAACGATGAATTACAACTGGACGGAGCTAGAAAGGATTGCCCAGGACAGGGTTGGATGGAGAATGCTGGTGAGCGGCCTATGCTCCTTCACGAGGAGTAACAGGCGTAAGTAAGTAAGTATACTTAGATTCAGTCGTAAATAATAATTCATACACTTTAGTTGTATGAGAATTAATGATACTATCCTACTAAACTATCAAAACAGATCTGTATAGAGCATGGTTCAAAACTGTAATTCAATCAGTTTAAGGTCAAGTGCTCTAATCTATGAAATTGAGAGGATAAATACCGAATGTCCGGCGTTTTAATCAGGTTAATGGATACGGTGGATCCATCTACATGAGTTGGAAAACCCTGATTCCAAACCAATCATGTCATATGAGCTCCAGGATCCTAAAGGAATGAATGGCGTATGAACGGTTGTTGGTTACTGGCCACTTAACACTGCTCCACCACCTTGTGGATTAGACCTTTAAGTCGAAGGCTCTGGGTGTGACTCCCTAAGGAAACCAACTGATTCAGTCTGAGCATCCGGTCAGTATCACAGCTCACACACAAATCAAGTGACTTGTGTGTGGCGCATATGTATTCGGTGCTCCGTTTGTACCAATATTTATGTGTTCAAATAAATAAATAAATAAAATAAATAATCACAGATCGATCAGTTTCTAGTTGTAAATAAAGGATATGTGAATATGAATAAGTGTTGAATGTATACTTATAATTTAGAGGTTATATTTAGGCAATACCGTCGTCTCAAGGCTAAAGGAAAAGAGGAAGACCAAAGAACACATTACTTCGAGAAAAGCGGGACAGACATAAGAAAAATGAACAAATATTGGATAGAACTGGAAAGGAAGGCCCAGGGCAGAGTGGGTTGGAGAATGCTGGTCTGCGGCCTATACTCCACGCTTAAGTAAGTAAGTAATTTAGGTAAGATAAAATAATGACATGAATTGTACATAATTAGAGTAATTCTTTGAATACTGTTAGTAAATGATGAAAGTTATTTTGTCCAAATACTATAAGTTGTAGAATGGCAAATACAATGAAAAGGTTATATATTTGTTTTTTGCTTTTTTGTGAGCGTTAATGTTTTAGATGGAATCAATGAGTAATAAGAAAGTGAAAAGCGTTGATATGATTAAATGAAGATGTATTAGAAATGGATATACAATAATATCACCTTCAATTCAACACATATGTTGTAGAGATTATTGAGATCTTGAATAGATCAATCTTTGACTACTATTGAATACTTGGAAGCCGTGAACAATAGTGCTAATCTATGTCAAGTATAAGGAAATTATCTATCGAAAACCATAGAAGATAGTCGCAGAATTTCGTGGTATAGTTAAACTTAAACATGAATACCATTGGATGCCGGTTCAACAGTCTATAAGTTAAGCATTGTTACCCAAGACCAAATATCTTGCATTGAAATCTTGTATGCAAGATTGTGGATAAGAGCACTGTTGAGAAATCCTGTACTAGAACGTAACAGTCATCTAGTACTTTTAAA